CTAGATTGTGTCAGAGGAAGCTTGAATTCATCAGTTCACTTGAACAAGCATTTATTGCCAAGAAAAGCTGCTTAAGGAAGCCATTAATCATGTTCATTCCACGCGGGATATTCTTGGCAATGATTCTCACTCTCATTTCTCTCCTCCTCATTCTTCTCTCCTTTATTATCTTGAGGACATGGCCAGGCACTGCGGCTCACTCCTGTAATCCTAGCACTTTGGGAGGTTGAGGTAGGTGGATCACTTGAGGCCGGGAGTTCGAGACCAGCCTGGGCAACGTGGCAAAACCCTGTCTCTACTAAAAATACAAAAGAAAATTAGCCGAGCATGGTGGTGCTCTCCAGTAGTCCTAGCTATGCAAGAGGCTGAGGTAGGAGGATCACCTGAGCCCAGGTGGAGGCTGCAGTGAGCTGTGATCGCACCACTACACTCCAGCCTGGGAGATGGGAGTAAGACCTTGTCTCAAAAATAAAAAATTAAAATAAAAAATCATAGGGACCCAGAAATAAACAGGTGTTCCCATCTTAGTGATGGCCACTGAGCTGTTACCTCACAGATTGCTGCTGCTGTTTTATTCATCTTCGTAGCTTTGTTTGATCGTTATCAGATTACAGGGAATTTGTGAAACAGAAAACATACCCAAGTTAAATTCACAGACATACAGAACAGTGCTCTTTAATCTTAGGACCACAGAACCTCGGACTAGAATATCATTTGACATGTTCCCCTGATTTAAAAAATGCATTGAGAAGTTGTCTGACTTCCTAAGACCCCAGAACTCAATGGTGGCAAAACTGGGGCAAGAATTCCCCATCATTTTCCCTGTCCAGACACTTGTCTTCCAATATTTAATCTTTTTGAATACTGTGGGTATGGAATCTCTGCTTCAATTTTCCTTTTCACAGCCTACAATTTATTCTTTTATTTGACAACCATTTTATGAAATAAACAAGCAACAACTGTGAAAAGTGATGAGGGGAAAGCATCGCACCTTCTCTGCACTTGGGCTATGGACTTCGAATCTTTTGTCCAGCAGATAGTAGAATCTTCATGAATTTCCGCAAATTGACAGCTTAATTTTACATTTCCAGAGTGTTCAGGGAACATCTCAGCTTGGATCTTTTTCAGTAACACCGGAGCTAGAAACAAGAGATTTGAAGGTCAGTGTAGCAAAAGACTTTCCCATTTCTTATAGTTTAATTCTCATAACAATTCTGAGAGACAGGAATATTAATTATTATCCCCAATTATGGAAGCGATTATTATCCCCTCCTCTGAGGGGAGAGGTGGCTTACCTAAATAGTCAGAAAATTAACAAATCAATCTAATGAAAATGCTCGCTTCCATTACTTAAAATTCCTTAGGTGCAGCCTGTAATCCTTAAAGTGGAACAGAACTTGAGAGATTTTTTCTAAAGGGGATGAAAGGTGAGAGAATTGTAGATATCTATTCTATAGGACTTCGGACAAATAAAGACGTTTTTAAATGATTACCAGATCATCCAGGTTAAAATCAGAGCTAGGGATTAGGGAGTAAAATAAAATCTAGATTCTCCAAAAAACTATGGTTAAGCCCCCAAAATGTAAAAAAACACCTCAACAATAGGTTATTGGCTAAATAATATTCATCCAGCTTATCTTTCCCCCTTGATCACACTTGTCTTTGCTGAAGATAACCTAGTAGATTAGAGTGATGTCTGAGATCAACCTCATTAGCAAAAGAGAACAGAAGCAATAGGGAAACGATTCCCACCGGTTGGGCTGAGACCTTTGAATATCACCTCAGTATCAGGATCAGCAATGAACAACGAGCAAGATAATGTGTAATTAGCCAGGGCAGCCACTGGGCGGCAGCATAGACATTAGAACAAGAAAACAAGACAGGGATGAGGGGCCTCAACAATTGGGTAGGCAGTGAGATTACTGCAGATGTGGTGTGAGTCTATCACAAATTAAGTGGCATAGCTCCACAGCTCTGGTAACACAAAAGAGTACATCATTACAAAACATATGTAATCCGTAGCCAAACCAAGAGTCACCAATACTGAGCCTTTGCTGGCTCCACTGCCTCAAATTATACTACAGTGAAAGTATCCACAAATTCAAGGTGCTCCCATCTCTCCTTGGTGCCGGCAGGTGCTTGGATGACAGAATGTATATTTGAAAGCTCATTCTCTGCCCAGGAAGTGATCATGGGCCTATTGGGTAGCAAATCTTTCAACCAGAGAGTAACTAAGACTACTAACAGTATCCTGGGAGCTAAGTACATAATTGAGAGAGAGAAATTAGAACAAGTGCATACTGATGGTAAACCCATATCCGTGCATTTGGGCCTGCTGACCCCTGCCCAAGCTGAGGCTGTGTTCAGGTTCCCAGTCTCAAATTCTTGGCCCAGGTCTCAACCAAGCCCACCTCCTCATCGTTTCCAAGAGGGTCCTTCCTTCCAACATCATGCAGTGGTAGTCTTCATGGGTGATTTGGGGGCACCTAAATATTCCTAAGCCTGCCAGAACCTGTTGCACTGAACACAAGGAAAATTGGGGGATGGCGGGAAGGGCATGAAATGGGCAGCAGAACTGAATGATGGGTCTGTGGGAGATGTGAGGCTTGTTTTGCCAAGGGGCCTTGGGCTTTGGATAGGACCCTTGTCTGTGGGAGACAGAGGTGGAAATGCAGCTGAACGAGCTCAGAGGAGGCCTGTAGGGCAGCTCGGTTTGTCTTCTGTGCACAGGTTGGCCTAGTGTTAAGAGAAAATGGTAGGAAAGTCCCCAGTAGATAAAAGTTTCTGTTGTACTAAGCTTTGGACATCAAAAGAGGTTACTGAGGCCTGGCATGGTGGTTCACACCTGTAATCCCAGCACTTTGGGAGGCCAAGGCAGGAGGGTCACTTAAGGACAGGAGTTTGAGACCAGCCTGGGCAACAAAGCAAGACCTCATCTTTAGGAAAAAAAATTAGCCAGGTGTGGTAGCAAGTGGCTGTGGACCTAGCTACTTAGGAGGCTCAGGTGGGAGGATTAGTTGAGCCCAGAGGCTGCAGTGAGCCATGATCTCCCCACTGCAATCCAGCCTGGGCAACAGAGCAAGACCCTGCCTCTAAAGTAATAATAAGTATTTATTTTAAAAGATTACTTAGGGTTTTTAAAATTTCTTTTAGAATGATACAATCACCACTCCCTCATCCTAACTCCCACCCCACCAGTTACCTGTGCTCCGTTGGGAATAGCAGGGTGGGTACCAGACTGTTGGGTAGGACACAATCAAGGTGTCACCCAAGGGGTCTGAACTGTAGCAGCTGGAAAGCAGTGACAAGGACTCAGGGTCTTACAAAAGCCATCACCACAAGAAGGAAGGAGAACTTTCTAATCTGGTGTCTTTCTGGTAGCAAGTTTTGTTATTTTTAAACATTAAAATTGCTGTGGCTTTCACTGAGAAAACAACATTCAAAACCTTTCGTGCTTGATGGTGGAGTAGATTCTTAAAGGAATTGGTTCATAGCTAGTAACCCATAATGAACAATTAGAAGATGATGTTTTTTAAAAAAAAAAAAAAAAGGCCAGTGAGGTGGGTCATGCCTGTAATCCCAGCACTTTAGGAGGCTGAGGCAAGTGGATCATGAGGTCAGGAGATCGAGACCATCCTGACCAACATGGTGAAACCCCATCTCTACCAAAACTATAAAAGCTGGGCATGGTGGTGCGCTCCTGTAGTCCCAGCTACTTGGGAGGCTGAGGCGAGATCGTGCCACTGCACTCCAGCCTGGTGACAGAGCGAGACTCCGTCTCAAAAAAAAAGAAGAAGAAAGAAAAAAGAAGCAGGGTGTTGTCAAGGGCTGGCCCCTTGAATGCCGCCGTCCCAAAAGCTAAATGCTTAAAGAGAGTCATTTTTCCCGTCTCTTGTCATCATCTGTATTGATTCATATGGATTACTGCCCACCGTGGATTCATATTAGATAAATATTCAGTGCATTCATGATCAAAGTCACCATGGAAAATAACGTGTCCTTAATAAACGCAGGAATATGTCGGTCAAGCCATTATTTCCTGTCAGTCGATGGCCCTTTCAATGCAATAACCTAGTGCTGGTTTGTAGTTAGGACAGGGGACTGTGATCCTAAAATAAGTGAGTGCCAGTGTTCCAGAAACCTATTCTTCTAACTTTCTCTGCAAAGAAAATTCCCCCACAAGAGGGGAGAGGATGGCTGTCAGTGGCAAGTCTTCTGAAGCTGGGAAAGGACTGCAGGATCAGGACCTACCCCGGCGTGTGCAAAGCCTGCCGAGGACTCACACTTAGCCGCTGACTCAAGGGTACCTGGTGAGCCTCCCCTGCCTGCTCTGTCACCAGATGGCTCCCACCTTCCGGCGGAGGCCCTGAGTGCTTCAGAGCAGAGGAGCCGTGGACGCCAGCTCCACTCTGTCTTCTAATACTAGGTTGGTTAAACTCAGACACAGTGATCTTGCATCTGAACCAAGCTCCTTATTTATTTCATGAGCATACTGGGCATAAGCTTTGCGTCATTTCTTATTTAAAAACACTAATTAAAAAAAAAATCGGTAACAGCCATGAGAAGTTGTACAAGGCCCAGCGCTATTCAAGTTGCTTTGCATTTTTATACCTGAGAGGAGTCTTATCATTAGCACCCTGATTTTACAGGTGGGGAAAGCGAGGCACCCAGAGGCTAAAGCATTTGTCCAGGGCTACTCAGGCACTGCCAGGGGTCAGACCTGAATCCAAGCAACACGACTCCGAATCTATACCCTAAACCATCGTGGTACAGTTTGTCCCCACGGGCCCAAACACCCGCTAATATCTCTAACTCTGAATCTCTGCTCTTAAGGGCTCTGTGTTGTGGGCGGCATGGGTAACAATCCTTCAGTGTTCTGGCCTGGAAAAGTCTGTGGTTGTCTCTATGCTGTGGTCTCCTGCAGGGCCCTCTCAGAATGAGACTGGCTGCCCTCACGTGTACCTGCTTTGCTTAGACCAGTCCCTCCCAGAAGGCTGCATGCTCAGCCTTTGCAGCCTTCAGTGCAACAGGGAGGTTGTGCTGCAGCTGAAATCGAAGTCTTTGACAGAGATTGATTTCAACACCACCTATCTGGACAGACCTCTTACCCACAGGTAACTTGACGGGTCACGGGCAAGAATTCCAGAAAGGTTGTTTTGCTTGTCTACCTTTACGTGCAAAGGAAACTCTACCCCCAAACAGGGGGGTTAAGGCCGGTCCCGAGAGGCAATCTATTCAGTCTCTGGGCTGAAACCACTTTTGATATCTTTTAAAACATTGCTTCATCCTCTCGATTTAATTTTATTTTTTTTGAGACAGGGTCTCGCTCTGTCGCCCAGGCTGGAGTGCAGCTGGAGGGCGGTGGTGTGATCACAGCTCACTGCAGCCGTGACTTCCTGGACTTAGGTGATTCTTGCTCCTCAGCCCCAGAGTAGCTGGGACTACAGACGTGTGCCACCACACCCAGCTAATTTTTTTGTATTTTTTGTAGAGATGGGGTTTTGCTATGTTGCTCAGGCTGGTCTCACATTCCTGGGCTTAAGCAACCCTTTTGCCTTGGCCTCCCAAATTGCTGGGATTACAGGTGTGAGCCACCATGCCCAGTCATTCTCTTTAAATATGTTTTAAAATGTAAATGCTAATAACCTGACTAGATACCTCCAAACTCTTCAGAAGGCAGTTTTGTCTTTAAACCTTTCTGCAACAGGGGTTAGGACGCATTTGATGGGACGGGAATAGCAAACACCCGCCTCAGCGTCTAAGAACTCAGGTTAAGTGAGGAAAAGATCCTTCCCTTCTGATCAAACAGAGCCATCCATAGCGTTTCGCTCCAGAGCACATAGGCCACTGCAGCTTGCTGCAATATTTTCTCTTCTGACTTCTGCCAGGGTGTATGGAGAGGGAAAGAAGAGCTCTGAAATAAAAGAGGCTAAAATTTGGTCTATAAGTGGAATTTGGGACTGAAGTGATTCCCTAGACAAAGTAGAATTAACAAGTAGAATTAACTGCAATTTCAGGCCTTTTTTTTTTTTTTTTTTTTTTACAGCATCGTAGGTGGAGGCTGATCAAGGACTTTTGAGGCTCAAGTGGTCTAAAACCCTGAACGGAGACCGCAGGGGACTTTAGATTTCAATAAATGGGAAAGGTGAGTTGGAGAGAAATGTTGTACTCGAATTTGGAAGAAAAACCAAGGTTCGAGGAAGCCATTTTTAATGAAAATCAGCGATTATAGAGGAGAATCCCAATTCATACCAAAAATATTCATTTCCACAAATCCTGTTTAGTGCGCCATCTATTTCATGATACTAATTAGCTACACTGATTAATGCTTCTGTTTATATTTTTAAATAGATTTTGTAAAAGAGGATAATTAAACAGAAAAGCACCTTGATCACATTTCCTCCAATGAGCATATCTAAGGCGGCTTTTATCAGTGGTTCTCAACTGTCGTTCTCCGCTCGGTCACCTGGGAGCTTGTTAGAAATGCAGATTTCACACACTGGGGGAGGGGAGCAACCTGGGTTTAACAAGCCCTCCAGGTGATCCTGATGACACATGCTGAAGCCACTTGGTTGCAACCATAGCATCAATGCCCACCTGGAGGACACTGGCCTTAATTGCCAAGGACCTTAGAGGACATAGGAACTGGATGTCTGGTCTACAAGCCCAAACTTTAACAATGAGGGACAGCAACAGAGCCTCACCTCTTCCATCTCTTTTGCAAGATGGCTTTTTCACGTCTTGTTTCTCTTCTGTGCATGATAACGACGTTTCGAGTTTGGGCATCTTTTTGAGAAAGCCTACATTCTTTCTGGCATTTTCCTTTTCTTCCAGTTTCAGCCTCAGGGCTGCCACCCGGGATAGAATTTTTTTCTTTACTCCCTCAGCTAAATGTCCACTCCCTAGGGTTTCTGGCTTCTTCTTGACCTCCTCTGACCTTGTCACTGCTGTAAGGGTTCCTGGCGATTTGCCAGCTTGGGCTTCCAGGGACTTCTCCCTGGCCTTTCTCACACAGCCCAGGGTGCCCTTTTGACACGGGTCCTGCAGTAACGTAGGAGCTTTCTCTGACTCATGTTCTCTTGAAATGAATGCCAAGGTCTTTGCTGAGGAGCTAGGTGAGCTTGGGGGTTTGGTTTCCCCAATTTGAAGCACCTCTATTTTAGGTTCTTCCATTTTGTGGCTTATAGAAACGTCTGTGACGTTTCCTTCAGGAGACGAAGTACAAGGCAACCTGGTAAGATCAGGAGCAGAGGGCAAAGGTTTCCCACACTCATTCTCAACAGTTCCCCTTTTCTTTGAGACAGAAAACACATACTGACGGCTTCTGGGCTCAACTAAGTCCTTTTCAAGGACGTCATGAATTTGGCCTGTGGAGTCGTGAGCCTCAACCCCAAGAGTAGCATGAGTCATTTTTGCAAGACAGCTAGAAAGATGTGAAGTGGGGGAAATCAATTCCGCTTTGTCCTTTTTACTTTGCTCAGCCTCCAGTAAGCTCCCATCACTGCCTTCTGGTATTTGGCCTATGCTACATCCACTAGGAATTCTTTCCCCACCTCTCCTGGGTCGCAGGACTTGCCAGATGGTAGTCTGGACTTCCACTTTTGCCTCATCAGCTTGACTTTGTTCAGCCTCCCACTTCTTACTGCCTTCCTGGCTTCTGCTGATTCTTTTTTCACTCAGAATGGTTCCCTGGGGACATGGAACTTGCAACATGGCAGGCTGGATTTCCGCTCCGTGGGGCACGTTTCCGGCATTGGATTGACTCCCCTCTCTGGCGCCCCCTGGTTTGGATTCAGAGGGCTCTGGTTTTCCAGCCCTGGTGTCCTCTATCACACCTGTCTTATCAATGGGATCTACAGAGGACTCTAGGATTTTACGGCAGGTCAGAAACTTTTTAAAGAAGGCAGCATGATCCATCTTGAGTCGCTTTTCCTCCTGGTCTTGACTCACATTGTTAACATTTTCTCTCCCTCCAGTTTCAGAAGCCGCTGACAGTGAATCTGTGACAAACTCTTTTTCGCCTACAGGGTCCACGGATGACTCTAGGAGTCTGGGTTGGCTAAAACCCCAGGAAGAAAGATTTCTCCAGTGTGCACTGATGGCGGGCTCATCGCCTTTATGGCTTTCTCTGCTATCAGCAAGGGCTGAGTCAGCACCCTGAGGACTGAGAGCCTGTGCTGCTGTTTCAGAGGGGGGCAATTCAGGCACAACAGCATCTGTCTTTAGACTATCAGGTACAGCCCAGACCCTGTCAGGAACTGTGGGACCCCCATCTGATGCCTTGCTCTCAGAATTTGCCAGTTGTCTTGGTGGCCAGATTTCAGAAGTGGAAGCCTCTAGAGTTATAATCTTCAGCTTGTTGCCTGCCTTCCAATTTCCAGGTCTGTATTCTTTAGGCTCTTCCAAAAGGATATTAGAGAGAGATGGAACGTTGCTCGGAGCCTGACTATCTTCTTCCACAGCAGCTTCAGCCACCAAGGAGACCCTCGTCCCCCCACCTGAGCACTGCCTTGCTCCTTCCCTAGAGCTTGCTGGTGAGTGGGCCAAGGGCACCAAGTTTATTTCCTCTTGTGCAGCAGATGTCATGGGCAAACTTCCTTGGAAATCATGTGCAGGAAGAGAACTCTGGGGGGACAGGTTCTGCTGCTGGAGCCCTTGCTTTATTTCACTTCCTGTTTCTTGGAAATTCTCTTCATGGCTCCTGAAGTCTGCTCTGTTCACTGTCTGACTCTTATCCCCAGACAGGTTATCAAGCTGAAGAGGGGAGTTAGTGCAGAAACTCTCTCCCTCTGGGAGCTGAAGGACATGGTGTGTGACTCCTGGCACACTAGGTTCCGTGCAAAGTGGCTCTTTTGTAGATTTGGTGGTGGCACCACTCAAAATGTGACCCAAGTGCACTTGGGAAGGAAACTGGGAAACATTTTCACGGGAGGCACAAGGGAATCTCTCCTTGGTGCCACCTGCATGCTTGTCCTCAGGAATTGACACAGCAAGGTATTTGGCTGGGCGGGCTTTGGTGGCAATGGTAACAGTTGATGTATCCTCAGTCTCTCTGGTCACCTGAAGGCACTCATTATTGGCAGTTAATGTTGTTGGCTTCTCCGAAGGAAAACTCACGATTGAACTACGACTGGCTGGTGTGTCTGTGGTGTCTGCAGCACTAGGACTGTGGCTCCTGTCACCTCCTTCTTTAAATTGCACTAAAGGGTTGTTCTCAGAAGAAAGCAGCTGTGTTTCCTCAAGCCCTCCTGAGTTGCTGGGGCTTGGCCGCTCCTGGCCAGCTTGTACCGTGGAGGCCAATGGGCAGGTGGTATTCTCCATCTTGGCTAGACTTTCTCCTGTGGCACCTTCACTAGCTGTGTGTGAAATGTTCAGGGTGAAAGTACTGATAAAAAGAGGGGACGTGGCTGAGTTCCTGTCCTTGCTGCTTTCACACATAGACACTGAAGTCTCAGAAACTTGTATCTGAAAAAGGCCTTCCAGTGTCTTGTCATCTGCAGAACATAAATCAGACACTTCGCTTTGACCTTCTGCCAGTTCCAAGTCTACAGAGCAAATTTCTTGAGGCAAATATTTATCAACGGGCTCCCCAACAAGAGAATCCGTGGTATCATGACATGTTCCTTGGTCACCGGCCTCAAAACACTCCATTGCACACACTGATCCTCTGTCCGTTGGCCCATCACACACATTTTCCAGGGTGAGGGCAGTGTCTGTGGATTCAAGGGAAGCCACAGAGACAGCCACAGGCTCCCTGAAGTCAATGTGGGCATCCTGCGTGAGATGCCTTGAGGACACACCTGGAGACGTATTCTCATCATTGGCTTCAGAGACGCTCAGCTCATGTTTTAGGTCTTCCCTGGAATTGTCAGGTGTGTTGCCATCTCTGTCTTGTTTTTCTTCCTGCTGTGAGCCAAAGGTACAGTCTTCAACCTCCAAGTGTTGAGCTAATGATGCATTTTCCTTGTGGACCCCTCCTGAGTTTGAGAAGGAAATTGTTGTGGTCCCAATGAACGGGGACTCCTCCCCAGCAGGCTCTGAGCAAGCTGGCATCTGGCTGCAAGAGATTCTCCCTCTGACTGTTTCCTGAGTTTGTACCTAGGAAGATGAAAAGTGATATTAATGGAATTGTTCCTGGGAGAGCCCACAATTGAGCATAACTGCAACCCCAAGAGCGTTAATCCTCAATGACTGTAATAATGGACAAGAATGATTGAAATCTAAACATTAATCCCCCAACTCCCTCTAGCTATTAGAGATGTCCTGGAAAACTGCAAATTTAAGCAACTCTATGTTCCAGGGGGCCATTTGTCAAATTCATCATTATAAGCAAAAAGCCTCCTGACAATCATCATTTATTGAATGATGTTTTCTCTCTCTCAGAAAATAGATGGAAATAAGTGGAATGTTAACTATTTTGATTAAGTAAGTCACAACAAGAGCTGCGTGCATCTTTCCAGAAAGATGAGTCTCACATGATCATAATAAATGAAACAAACAGTACTTGCAGCGTAGCAATAAGCAATTTTTATCCCCAAAATATGACAGCTTGCTGGTTAATAATTGCTGTGGTTTGGATATTTGCCCCCTCCAAACCTCATGTTGAAGTTTGAACCCAAGAGTTGAAGGTGGGACCTAATGGAAGGTGTTTGGGTTATGGGGGTGGACCTCTCATGAATAGATTTATGCCATCTCTCAGGGATGGGGGGATGAGTGAGTTCTCAGTCTATTAGTACCTGGTTGTTAAAAGCCTGGCACTGTCCCCACCCCAACCCTGCTTCCTCTCTGTCCATGCAATCTCTGCATATGCCAGCTCCCTGTCACCTCTCATAATGAGTCGGAAGCAGACTGAGGCCCTCACCAGATGCAGATTCCCGATGTTGAACTTTCCAGCCACCAGAATCATGAGCCAAATAGGCCTGATTTCTTGATAAACTACCCAATCTCAGGTATTCTGTTATAGCAATACGAAGTGCACTGAGTTTTGTTACCAAAAACCAAAGAGAAGCCTGCCTTTGAACCCACCTCTAATGAATAAATGGACTTATGATTGGCCACCAGCACTGCCAATCATTTCTTTCCTAGAGAAGCTTACAAACATCCCAGAATGCATCCTAGATTTTAAAACAGATGCCAAGTGGCAGG